GCTATTCAAACAAGCAAGCTTGTCTTGTTCTGTATGCTCCCATTTCTGTCATTGTACCTCTCAGCCTTCTTCAGGTATCTGTTGTACTCGGTAACCTCAGTATTTTGAACAGAACCCTTTAAAGCTCAATTCATGAAGATAGTTTGTTCTTATATTAGCTAAAACTCTGCAGTTTATCCACTTCTGTTGTAAATGGAAGAAACAAACGAGCAACGTAAAGGCAAATAGACTATAGAGCAAGGATGGCCAACCTGTGGTGCATGCGCCATAAGTGGCGCATTGCATCCTTTTGATGAAAAGAAACTAAGCCACTTCTACTCATTCATTTCAATGAATTGTTTGTTGCTTTCAGTTACGAATTTAACTCGTAATATTGCTGGTTTGGCGATAACAAAGCAGAATCAAAAGACATTAAAGTTATTTATGTTTATTTTGCCGATGTAAACATTATAAACTCTGCCATGCCCCCCCCACCTATGCAAAATCTGAAGAGAAAAAAAAAAGTCAAAGCATTGATTGATGCCCCCCATCCACCTTTCAAAACTCCTGGATACACCCCTTTCAAATAAATAGATTTTATTATACCTTTAAAATATGTCCATATTACATGTACTGAAAGGAAGTGAATGTTTGTGTGGCACATTTAAATTAATCGTACAAAATATTGGCGCATGGAATCAAAAAGTTGGCCACCCCTGCTATAGAGAATTAACTCATATATGATATATCCTTAGCATGGGAAGCAGAAGAACAATTTACCCCTGCAGATTGAATAAATGCTTTGGTTCAAAATCCAGAGATAGTTACCAAGTATGTTACACACCTGAAGAAGGCCAGAGTGTGCAACAGCCAAAACCCTTTGGGTATTACAACCTAGATAAGTGTGCAGGTCTAAATAGAAAGGCATGAAATAATTAAGCTCTGGTCCAGCAGAATATCCGAATATTCTCTGGCTCCTTTTACAAAACTGTTGACAACACAAAATATGATTTTTTTTTCTCAATCTGTATTTTGTGGAGGATGAAGGAAAGTACAAAAATATCAATCAAGAAAACAAAATATTAGAGAATATAGCATGTTTACTGCCATATGAGCCAAATGTGCATCCATTCCACAGTTTTATTTAAAGCAATATGGCAACAAAGCTATTCTCAGCATTGTGTCTTTTTACCTCGATTTGTACAGCTGTTTATTTTTTGGCAAAAATATGATAATGATGCACAAATGCATTATATGGCCTGATGGACATGGGGAGATTTGTTTGTTTGTTTAATGTTTAATGACCTATCAATCTTTATGAGATCATTTAAGGTCAAACAATTGTTTTTTCTTTTTGGATAAAGTTAGATTGCTTTCAATAAAAAAAAAAAAATTTTTTTTCAGTGTTGTCTTGCATTTTTAAAAATATCCATTGCTTTCAGAGTTGTGTTGTTTTTGAAACTTTTCACCTTGTAAGGGTCAAAAGGTCCCTTTTTTTATTGTCAAATATTTAATTGGTATTATATTTTTTTGTATAGTTTAACTTTTTTTTAAGAAAGGTTGAGATTGTATTGGGGTTTGTTTTTTTTTCAAAACATTCTTTCAAGTTGTTAACATTATAAAGAGATTGCCGAATATGTGTTAAGTCACTGCAATCGAGTAGGAAGTGTTTTACAGTATAAGTTTCTTGGCATGCTATTCATTTGGGAAGATCTTCGTCTTAGATGTCCATCTTTTCTAGGCTTTCTGTCTTATTTGCATTTTGTTATGTTTTGACTCTTGGATTTCTTTTGGTTCTGTTTGCTTATTGAGGGATGTTCCTTTGGTTTTTTCCTTTGATTCATTTGATGATTTTTGTTTGGATGAGATGATTGTTTTTGTTGGGACTTTTTGAACTTCTCTGTCTTGAATGTCTTTCTTGGCTATCAGTTTCCATCAGTTCGAATTTGTTTTCATTTTCAATTAAGACAATTTCTGTTTTCTTTTTGTTGTGTTGATTCTTCAAAGGAGATTTCATTTTTGGAGGGGAGGAGTTATTTAATTTGTTAGTGGTGATGGGGAGGATTGGCATCTGCTGTTGCTTAGATTGTAATTTTCTTTGGTTTGTGACATCTTTGGTTTTGTCGATCTGGTATTGGGGGTTTTCCTTTAGATCCGATTCAATATCGAATCTAGTTGTTGAACCGATTAAATTTTTCTTTAGTATCTCCAGTAGTGATCTTAGTTCTTCTACCAGATCAGACAGATTGTTTTGTGTTGTTTCTTGTTTTTGAATCAAGTTGTTTGTCATACTGGCTATATTTGCATATGTTGATGCATTCTGAGAACTCTCAACTATCCTTCTTGCCTCCAGGTATGATATGTTTTTTGTGCATTTAATTGAGGACATTTTTTTTTTCTTTCTTCCAGACTTCACATTCTTTTGAGTCTGCTGCATGATTTTGTTTGCAGTTTGCACATTTTAATGGGAATTTGCAGTCAATGTGATCCCCAATTTCTCCACAATCTTTACATGTTGGTGATCTGGTACATCTTTCCTTGTGGTGCCCGAACTTTTGGCAGTTGTGGCATCTCAGAGGATTTAGTATGTATACTTCCACTTTTTCTATCATATATCCGATTTTTATTTCTGTAGAAGGTTTTGGAGTGTTGAAATTTAGAATATAAGTGTTTGTTGGAGTCATTTGGTTGTTGTTTTTAATATTCTTTGAGCATCTGTGATGCCTTGTTTTTTTAGGTTGTTTTTTTTATCTCATCCAGTGTGCAGAATGAGAGATCTGGGCTTCTTTACCACACCCTTTGAGGGGTTCAAGGAAGCGTGGGGGGTAGGCTTTTATCTTAAGCTTAGAAAAAAAGTTTTATTTGGAACTTCTACTAAAATGGTGTTGTTCCTTAGTTTTTTTATTGATAAAGTTTTTATTAAAGATTTCATTGTTTTTTCAACAATGAATGGAGACAACTTAGTGATTGGAGTGTTCTCTATTGACTCTAAGACAAATCTAGGGAACAGCTTTTGATCAAGTTTGTTGTCTGACTCGATTTCAGAGTATAGGCTCTCCGAACCGTCTTCAATATGGGGTCTTTTGTTTTTATTTGTTGCCATGAGTTTTATTTTTTAAAAATGAATTTTTAAAAAATAAAAATCATGGCAACATTCCTTGCTCCCCCCCTCCTCGGAGCCCATCAGTGGGAGCTGTTGAGGGGAAACCCATTCGCCCTATTATCCCAGGGATAAAAGGAAGGTATACTCGCACTAGTAGTGGCTGTTAGCATTTCAGGTTTCACTTTGTTTTCCCTGACCCATTTTTGATGAAAAAGTCAGTTAAAATCCTTATCTGTAACAGCTTTTTCTTACTAGTAGATTAACCCTTGCCACTGCCTTCTAATACTTACTTACGATCTATCTCTTGTTTGTAGCAAAGTGTCGGACAGGTTTTGTGTAACATCTTATGGGTTTTAGATAGATGGGTTTTTATGCGAGTAAGTATTAGTGCTTGACGTGACTAGCCGATTGATCGGATCGGACCTCTCCGACCACCCATCTAGCCCAGGTAAGGGCCAAAGTGATGTGTTGCATGACCATGACCTCTTTGCACCCGGGCCATGCCCTGCTCAATCACCAGGTTCCCATCCCCAGACGACACAGGTTACCACCTACGGCCAACAGGTGGCCCCATTGAGGGACTTTTACCCTCTGCAGTGGTGCAGTCGATGTATTCTGAAGCCCCGCCAACAGAGCACTGGACATGGGGAGAGAAAATACCAAAGATGAACATTAGTGTCATTCTTTGCAATTCAACCTATAACTGCCCACTATAAAATCTGGTATTAATTAAAGAATTAGAATAAAAATCTAGTAATAATTATAGGTTTCTAGCTCACCTTAATGCCCACCATCCCCAAAATGGGACATAAATTTCATTTATCAAAATAAAACATACAGAGTCTGGTGGTAACTAACAAATATGCAGATGGCCTTATGTAAGGGTCCAAATATCCAAGGTAGTAGTGAATGTATTAATAGATTTCATTTTATTTACCAAAATAAAATATAAGCAGTCTTTTATGGTATTTTCTAATGCTAACTAACAAAAACAAAGATGGCATTATATAAGGTTCCAAATATCCAAAAACGGTCAAAAATTTAAATGCAACATCAATTCTCATTTTCTGTCTTTCTGAATACTGTTTATTTTTGGGTTTTTTTACCCTTTCTCCTCACTAATTTTTTCTCAATTTCTTTCACTCTCAGTAATCCCTTGCATCTTACAGGCATTATCATCTTGCTTGGGGTGAAATGATAAAAAAAAAAAAAAAAACAATAAGCACACAGCAAAATTTTAAAGAAATTTAAGCCTATTTCAAATGGAGCTGAATGTTAAAAAAAAATAGTTTTACTAACTGCAGAAAGTTTTTTTTTTTTCTTTAAGGGAATCAGAAGAGGAAAAATTTCAGAAATATATACTGTACATAGAGTAAAAGAAATATAAACTTTTTTTGGTGGTGGTGGGGTTTAATTTTGCTTTAATTAGAAAATGGATTGCTCATCCTAATAAATTTCACCAGTTCTTCAGATATAAGGTACTTTTGATAAAACAAATATACAAGTACCAAAAACACAACTGACCAGATGCTAAATTACAAATGTAGAACTGCATTTGCATTATAAACAAACTACCACTTAGAGCGATTTCTATATCAGCATATATACACAGTAGCATACAATATAACCTGTCTTTTGACATTTTTATCGTATTGTCTGCCAGGGTGTTGTTTAGTTTAGCCAGTACTGCTAACTATCTGATTGAAACAAAAATGATAGCACCCCTGAGAAACCACACTCAGCAATGGCAATTTTCTTTTTCTCCCAAACCAGGCCAAGTACAGCCGAGCACAAATATTGACAAAGGAAGAAATAAAAGGTAATTTTCTTCCTGTTCTTATTCCAAATCAAATTCTTATAAAATCTGAAGAATACAAGAACTGAAGATAAAAAAGACAAAAGTAAAAGAAATACTCACATTTGATGGCATGAAGAAAATATTCCACTGAATGTTCATATAATTTTAATGCCTCTTCATAATTTTTATTTTTATCCTCTTCAGTAGCCTTTGTTACCAGCTCAATGGCTTTCTGTCAAAAGGGGGAGAAGAAAAAAAAAAAAGAAAGAAAAATAAAATCAGCAACATAAAATAACAAGTATAAGGAGTAAATCCCACCAGAATTAAGAACATTTAATCAAAAAATAAGGATGAGAAAAAATACTGTATTTGTCGGCATATAAGGCTCACTTTTTTTTCTTTTAAGTAAAAATATCTTTTAAAATTTCCCTGTGTTTTATATGCCATATGTAGGTTTAAAATTTGTGATAGTTGGCCAAAATTAGTTACCTGGCAACTCCTATTAGCTTAGACTTTAGAGTAACTTTCATATAACTATTGTCATTATTTAAAAGGATATTATGCAGATTAAAAGTGTTATCATTGATAATATTCATTATATTAATGTCATCACGTTTAATATTAGTACTTTGTTTCACTAAAATTATATGCAATAAATTCAAATTATTTATTGGTAAAATATATTTGTTTCATTAATATTTTTCTTGTGATAACTTCCTGTTGCAATGGTATAAATACAATCAGAATTTTTATATGCATTATTCCAAGAAGACGTTTACAAGATGCAGGTTGTACAGATCCTATAAAGGATATAATAAAGTTTTTATAGGCTCAAGTTCTTTTTTTCCTATTATTTTTTGTTTTAATTGTAATCATGGCTTGTTTAAGCAAAATAATACCTCATAAATATAGCCTACTAATAATTTTACTAATTACTAATTTTTTCTTGATTTGCCCTGCTGAAATTGAGGTGCATTTTATACATACATGCATCTTATATGCCGTCAAATACAGTATTTACCCAGGTAGGTTGAACAACACAAAGACAACTTGAAAATTAGGCAGGTTTTAACCTACAAATAATTTGGATATATCTTTAAAGAATAGTTTTGAGGCAGAATTTCAGATTAAATAACAACCAGCTTTAATTCCCAGAAATCCTGCTAAATATTTTGCATAGTTATAAATTTATAGCAATGTTTTTCATCAGAATTTCTGGCAAATTAAAATTGGCTGGTATTTAAGCTGAATTTCCTCTAGGAAAAAAAAAATTGCTTATTCACAATAAAATCAAGAACAATCGTATTATTTCAAGTTTAAGAAAAATCACATTTACTATTCAAAGTTGCATGTTTTATGCTAAAACATTTCACAGCCTGGCAAAGGAAAGACTTTTAATGACTGACTTCTAATTTAAGCATAACACCTGCTATGCTTACAAACTTCCCTATACACCTGACTAGAAAATCTACAAACAAATACAAGTGATTACTACAGAGAAAATTCAGATTTGCTGTTAAGTGGCAAGGTTATATTTAGAATATAATCATTTACAAAAGATAGTGTAAAAAGTGTATTTAGTTACACTATTTGATTAGTTTCATTTCAGAGGTTCAAAATGCTTTTATAAAGACAAAATATAACAAGCATAATTATCTACCTTTAAAATTTAACAGAAACTTGTGTGTCTAGCAATACCAAGTGCTAACACAAAAAAAAAAAAAAAAAGTCACAAAGCTTCCTCAAATGAAGAAAAAAAAATTGATAATTTTTTTTTAATTTCCTGGTGGTGTAGTTTAAAAAGATGTGTGAAATACTGGCTAACTCGACAGATTGAGCTATGCATATTTCTCAAACCTTTGCACAGTACCTGATATGCTAGTAGTACATGGGGTATACAATACAATGCAAATGGAACTATGTGGTAACTACTTATAAACTATATAGTAACCAATAGGGGTTTTTTTTAATGCAGTAGCAAAAATATAAAAACAACCCTTTCATAGAAGATTTCAGATTCCACATCTGAATGCAATTGACAGATTACCTGACATTAAGAAAAAGTTGAACAGAATTAAACTGAAATAATATGAGGTCTAATAAAAGTGTCATTCAAAATGTTTCTCATCACTGAGCATCATAATACTATGTGCACACAGTAAATGAACAGTGCTAAAAATATTTGAAAGCTTTGCTTTTTCCTTTTTGATGATAACCATTAGTAAAACTAGTAATCAGTAGGGCAAAAATAGGAAAGTATATTTTTTTCAACACATACATTTATATGCATTGACTCATTCCAGAGAAGAGAGAGAGAGAGAGAGAGAGGAAGAAGTCAGCAGAAAAAACTTTGTTCATTTGTGAAAGGATTTGCACAATGAAATGATATAATCAGTTGGTAGGACTAATGCAAGACAGATATGCAACCAGGTTCTACTTCAGCCAACTGATATTTTTTCTGCTACATATGGTCCGGTGCCCCTGCTATTTATCTAGAGCTCGTTGATAAAATCCAAAAAAGAATCAGTAATATTATTGGTCCTGACCTGGCATTTCAGCTTCAGTTACTTTACCCACAGTCATAAGGTTGCCTCCAGGTTCATTTTCTATAAATGCTTTCATGGTAATTATTCGGATGAGCTTTTTTCCATGATACATAGACTTTATGAATTTAAGTGCAGTACTAGACTGGTGATAAGGTCTCCTCAATTTACAGTTGAGTTGGCTAGATGTAAGTGTAAGTTCTATGCTAACAGTTTCTTTTCTCATAATTCTCCCTTGTGGAACTCCTTTCCAGATCCATGCTTTCCAGCCAATTTTAATCTTCAAAATTTTATCTACTGTCCTCCTGATTACTCTTTTGTTTTCACTCTTTAGTAATGTTTTCTAACTTTTCCACATCAAGTAACCCCTTGCATCTTAGTGGCTTTACTGACTTGTTTGGGGTGAACTTGATAAAGAAAAGAGAAAAAAAAAAAAAAGCTACTTTTCCATCAGTATTGAAAGCAAATGCTGATCAAGATATTGGATATTAGAAGCAAAAGAGAAGTGGTGAAAAAGTTTTCATATAAATTTGAATGTATACACAAAAATTTTTTTTCCAGGGATGTACAGAATTGACCAACTTTCATTCTTCCCCACCTCTTGAGCCTCTAAAATAAAAAACAAGAACAACAACTCAAACATGTGTGCCCACTAAAACTAACGTTTATAGTAATAAGAAATAATGTCAGGTAAAAAAATCCTAAAAAACAAAAATTTACTGTTGAATACATTTCGGGTAGCTAGTGGATATAGATTCACAGAAGTCAGATAAAAACATGCTTTCCTGAACAAGCTGACTTGGTCCTATCAGGCTGTCTCCATGGCTGAAATGGTTGAAGAACATTTTGGCTTAAGTGATTTCTCCAAGGTAAAAAAAGGATGCAGGTTCAATTCCTGTCAGAGGCACAATTTTTCTTTAGAAGGGCTTTTCAATTTATGCTGCTTGTTATTAAATTTCACTGTTTGATAAAATCAGGGATAGCAACTCAAACACGTTTACCCACTAAAAATAACATTTATAGTAATAAGAAACAAAAAGAATGCAATCAATAGTTCAAACAACTTTTAGATTGATACGGACTCTCAAAATAATAGAATATATCCATTTTCCATGATTGACATGTAATCCAACTGCTTTTGTTATCTTTTCAAATTTAAGGTGAGATACTGAAATTTTCTAAACCCAATACACCCCCCTCTCTTGTTTTGGACTTTTTTTTTTTTTTTCTTTTTTTTTTTAATAAACTTGCTATATTTCTCCAATTACCAATTCTCTCTTTAAATTAGATATTTTTTTCTCTGGACTGAGTCTAGATCAGCCCAGCCAAAATCTTTTTTTCCTCTCACTTCACATGGCAAATTAACTCCTTTATGTATTATATGCTGCAGTGAACGATACATGTGGTATATTCTACTTTTGACAATGTACAGAAATGCAGCAACACAAGTATCAGGAAAAAACAAAAAATAACATTTGCATACTCATGTGGAAATGGATTCTGAAAAAGTGAATCTTTTATTCCTTTCTTTATTCACAAATAAAAATCTAACATTTCTTTTTTGCTCAAAGTAGTTCTCACTATTTTCATAGTTTCTATTCAGTTATTTATGTACCATGTGATGCATGCATAGGCAATCACATCTCTTTTGATTCAGCTAGATGTTCTCTGCAGTAGGTTGTCCGTTTTTTCTGTGGTAGACTGGTTGCCAACCAAGGCTATAGGATACAGTCTGTTCTGCTATTCAACCCATAGTTGGTGGGGATTCATACCTTTCCCTAAGAGTATTTGTGCACAGCTTCCTGATATTTTGAATAGGAGTAGAGGTTTATCCCTTGTTTAAGGTTGGGTTTCCAGTTCCTTCTGAAATTTACTTTCACATTATTACTCTGACTGAACTTGGAAATATTCTTCACTAACTAAATCTTGACAATTTCAAGTCTAGAGTTGGCCATTGTCTTTCCTGCAGAGCCCCAGGAACTTCACTTCTTCCCTTTTCTTATGCTAATACAACTACACACAATAACCCTCTACCTTGAGCGACTCTTGGGCCTTGTACTGAAGCACATTAGTTAAAAAAAAAAAAAAAAAAAAATGTAACAAATCCAAATGGAATTCAAACTCTGCTCTTTGATTTCTCATTCCAAGCTAACAGTTTCTATTACAAAACCTAAAAAGAAAAATGCTTTTATACATTGGCAAAACCTGCTAGGAATATTAACTTTATTGATACTTGAGAACATATGTACTCCAAAACCAGCTTCATGATTGTGATTTCGTTTTTGAGCAACACAATCCTAAATAAAAGTTAGGAGTCTAAATTGGTTCCAAAATCCAATCTCGTAAAACATACTAAAAGTAGTACACTTTATATTTTCTCAATAAGCATTGAAAAAATAAAAAAACATTTCATTCCATCTGTTGTTCAATCAAATCCCATAAATTAATCTGTCTGTACTTAATGAAATAATGCACAAAAAAAACTCACATTCAGTACAGTTGAAATTTCTGTTTGCAGTTGAGACAAAACTGCAATCAGGAAAATTCTGTCATCAGCAATTCATGGATTATGGCTTTTTCAAACACTTCCAAAATAATTTATTTTTTCAGTGATATTCTTATTCAACATTTTTTTTTAAATCCACCTTTTATCGATTATCACATTTTTAGTTAATAGTTCGAAATTAAC